CCCCCCCCCCGTGGGGGCGGGAATGGGCTGGCCGGCTCTTTCTCTCCCACCCACCCCCCACCCCCGCCTTGCTTCTGGCGCCCCCTCTCCCCGACCGCGGTGGTGCAAGCCGAGCAGGCAGGAATCCACCCGGCTGCGCTGCGAAGCACCGATCGGCAGGGCGGCTTGGGGCTTTTTTGGGGGGGGAGGGCCAGAGGAGGGGGACACCCCGTGGGGGTGGAGGGAGGGGGGGCTCCTGGCGCGGCCCTGCCTGCCCGCCTCCGAAGGGTCGCAGCTTCATCCGTCCCCAGCCCTGCATGGGGTCCCGGAGCTCAACGGCCTCCTCCTCCCCCCACCCTCTCCGATGCCCACTGACAAGCGATCCGGTCCTCAGACCCAGGAACCGGGGGGGTCCTGAGGACGCAACGGTCGCTGGGGTTTGGGTCAGGCCGATCGGGGTCGGGACCGCAGTTTGGTGCTGAAACGGCCAGTTCCACGAAAAGTCTGTAGAGAGATTGAAGGGGTCTATTGAGAGTTTTTCTGCCTGAGCATGGGGGGAGGGGGGGTTGGACTAGAAGCCCTCCAGGGTCCCCTCCAGCTCTACTCTGATTGATTGATTCTCAGTCCTCCAGGTCATGGTTGTCCCAAAGGTGCTTTTTTTTTAACCCCCTCCCTCCCAAGAGGCAAAACTGGACCTCCTGGTTTTTCTTTGAAGAGGTTTCGCTCCCTGTCCAAGAAGCTTCTTCAGGTTCTCTCGGAAGCTTCTGCTGCTCTCAGAGCTGAAGACGCTTTTTGGATGAGAAGCAAAACATCTTCAAAGAGGAAAAAAAAACAGAAAGTCCACTTGCCTCTTGAAAAAACAAAAAGCACTTTTGGGACAACCACGATTACCTGGATGACTGAAAATCTCCGTAGACATTTGTCCCAAATGTACTTTTATTTTATTTTTTTCAGGAGGCAACTGGACTTTCTTGTCTTTTCCTATGAAGACCTTTTGCTTCCCATCCAAAAGGCTGCGAATGACCAGCTCTGCAAGGAATATCAATCCTTCCATCGCCCGCCATCCAGTCAGAGCTGAAGAAGCTTCTTGGATGGGAAGTGAAAGGTCTTCAAAGAAAAAAACAACAACAAGCAAGTCCAGTTGCCTCCTGAAAAAGCCCCTTTGGGACAACTATGACTTGGAATGACTGAGAATCTCTACAGACTTTTAGCTCTGCAATTTGGGATGAAGACCCTTGGAACGGTGTGGGAGCAGGAATGGATTTCTAGAGAGGAAAAAATTGCAGACTACAAGAACCATTTGCACCACTCAGGTGACCCTGAGGACAGAGATAAACCTCCAAGTGGCCTCAACGGCCCTCAAAAAGGATGCAAATGACCAGCTGTCTGCAAGGAGTATAAATCCTTCCATTCCTCACTATCCAGTTAGAGCTGAAGAAGCTTCTTGGATGAGAAGCAAAATATCTTCAGAGAAAAACCAGAAAGTCCACTTGGTTCCTGAAAAAAAAGCACCTTCCAGTGGTTTCTGTGGTGGCATAAGAGGAAGACACCATGGATTCATCCCCACAACTGTGTGCAAGTGTTCCTGGGATGCTCTGGGTCCATTCCCAGGTTAACCACAACCCTGGGATCTTCCAGTGGTCTCCCACTCAGATCCAAATCAGCTCTGGCCCTGTTTAGCTTTCACAGGTTAGTGAGGCTCCGGGAATATGAAAATCCTGTTCTCCTTTGGTCTCCAACATAGAATCAGGACTGGAAGGGACTTTGAAGGTCTTCTAGTCCAACACGTTGGCCACTGCTGAGCTTTGAGTTCCCCCAATCAACCTGGGAATGTCACCTTGCAGCCCAAATGCAACAAACTAGATTATAATCCACTTTTTGGATGAGGGAAGATACAGCAAAACCAGTTTTTCCTCCTCCTGATGTTGGAAATAAGGGAATGGTGGCCTAGAGTCTTAACAGCCCGTGCCCCGTTTCTCCTGCCTTTCTCCTCTCAGCCCTTAAACACCCATGTCACACATTATGCCAAGCCACGTTTAAAGCGTGGTTGTCTGAATCCATGACAATTATCCAGATTCGTACACCAAGTGAAGCTGAGGTTTAACCCCATAGGATGAGGCCAAACTGACTCTCTCGATATTGGGATTCTGCTTTTGCAAAAGTTTAATAAACAACTCTGAATTTGTTCATAGCTCTCTTTGTCTTTTTTTTTTTTAAAAAAATTTTTCTGACACCAAACCAATGGTTTTTTTAGGGGAAACCCAGCCGGTGCGTTTGTGTGAAAGAGGAACAAAATAGCCTTGTGTGAGAAGTTGTTTGGTGTTTGTTGGTTTGTTTTTAGGAAAAAAACAATCTTTAAAAAAAAAAAAGAATTTATTTTTCCTTTTGTTTCTTGTTTATGAGAAGCAACACCGTGGCTATTTTTAATGCACTGTTCGTACCATTCCAGCTACAGAGCCACAGTGAGGGCTGGCAGCATTTTTTCCACACCTGTCAGCTTGTCCTCTTCTATCTATTTTCATAAGCATGGAGAGGCTTGTGTTCCTGCAAGAGCCCAAAACCTTGGATTTATGTTAACACGGCATTTCAGAAGCAACCACAAACACCGGTTTTGAAGGAGTTGATGAATATTCAACATGGCAATCGCTTCTCTGTTCGGAGCACGCATTGTTAAAGAACTATGCACAAGATGGGCTGTGGGTGTGTAAGCTGGGAGAACATGCGGGACTGTTCATGGTACATTTTGACTGAAAAGGTGTGCAGAGCAGACGCAAAGTATTGCTTAGCTAAGTGCCCAGAATTGAGAATTGCGGGGTCTCCTTGGTGCTCTCTGAGCTTGGTTGTTTTCCATGAAGACGTTTCAAGACCCAAATAGGTAGCATCATCAGTGCTAGAAGAGTGGGATTTGTGGGTGGTGGTGGTGGTGGTGGTGGAGGAGGAGGAGGAGGAGGAGGAGGAGGAGGAGGAGGAGGAGGACAACAACTATGGGGTTAGTTCTTGATGCTCTCTGAGTATGGTTGTTTCCTTGCAGATGTCTCATTACCTAACTAGGTAACATCATCAGTGCTGGAAGGGAGCGTGTAGAGGAGGAGGAGGGGACCGGAAGTGAAGGAGGGAGGGAGGAGCAGGAGGAGAAGGGCTGTGCAATCCTTGGTGCTCTCTGAGTTTAGTTGTTTTCCATGCAGACTTTTCATGACCCAACTAGGTAATGTCATCAATGCTAGAAGAGAGTGGGATTTGTGAAGAGGAGGAGGAGGAGGAGGAGGAGGACGACGACTATGGGGTTAATCCTTGATGCTTTTTGTTTTGAGCGTGGTTGTTTCCTTGCAGACATCTCATGACCCAACTAGGCAACATCATCAGTGCTAGAAGAGACTGGGGTTTGCTGTCTGTTTATACATAAGTGGCTTGTTCTCTCAGCCTCTCTCTCTCTCTCTCTCTCTCTCTCTCTCCCTCCCTCCCTCCCTCCCTCCCTCCCTCCCTCCCTCTCTCTGTGTCTCTCTCTGTGTGTCTCTGTCTCTCTCTGTCTCTCTCTGTCTCTCTCTCTCTCTCCCCCACAGAAGGTCTTCAGATCCAGCTTTGAGGATTCTTTGGGAGATCTTCAAGCAAGAGTTGCACCCCCCCCTCTGTGGAATGGGGATGCTAACCAAAGAGATGCCCAACTGCCCCTCTTCCCATCCCTTCAGTGCGTTTGTCAAACATTTTTCATGCCTTTTCGCAACGGAAATCTTGCTTCTTTAGTGCATCGGCTCAGCCGCTAGAGAGCACTGTGGATGGAGCCAGCCGAATAAACAGACAATGCAACATCATCATCGTGACTCTGTGTGTGTGTGTGTGTGTGTCTGTGTGTGTCTGTGTGTGTCTGTGTGTGTACATATTGTCTGGTTCACATCCTCAGGCCCAGCGTTGCCTCTGGTCAAACCTGCAAACCTCATCCTTGCGGCTTGTGGCTTTTGTGCAGGGCGCGAATCCAGTCGAACGTGGCTTGTTCTATCCCCTCAAAGAGGAATCACGAAACAAGCATCTTCGCAGCATAACAGCCTTCTGGAAAGAAAGCACCAATTGTTCTTATTTTTCTCTTTCTTGCCCCCCTCCCCAATTAGTATTTTTAGCTTGGAGGGTTTTCCCCCTTGAAGCCCAGAAGCTGAGGCTAATGATTAACTCATTATAAATTTCAGAGGAAATGACTCCGTTCCATGTAATTATCTGGAAATGTATTCCGGGAAGCATATATAAGAAAATAATCTTACACTTAACACTAAGTGTAACTAATCTTACACTTAACACTAAAAAACAACAACTAAAGAGCTTATAATCGACTTCAGGAGGAAGAGAGATGTACATTTACCATTGTACATAAATGGTGAGGAGGTGGAGAGGGTTGGTGGTTTTAAATTTCTGGGCACTTCTATCTTGTAGGACCTCTCATGAACTGATAATATTACAAGATAATAGGTATAAGTATAAACATGAGTAAGAAGACAGGAAATAGGTACAAATAAATGGGGACAATAGGACAGGGACAGGAGGCACGATGGTGCACTTATGCACGCCCCTTA